TTTTTCCATATGACCACAGTCTTCATATTTTGGAATGCGGTTAGTCATGATTAGTAGATGACCCCTTTTGATTTTGAGGTTCACTGGATCAAAGGTCAAGGTCATTAGGGACTTTGACTTCAAAAAGTTTGTCCACCAATTAACTTAAGATTCCTTTGGACCCACAGTCTTCATATTTGGGCCTATTGGATGTTTGATCATGGACTTATAAGGTGACCCCTATTGATTTTTGAGGTCACTGGGTCAAAGGTCAAGGATCACAGGGACCTTGACAAAAAAAAAAAGCTTTTCTTCTCAATTGCTAAATGAATGTCCTGTCCGCAATGTTATTGATTTTGACATTTTCACATTTTGAAGCATGTAGAATACATAACTAAGCAATGCACTGGCTTAGTAACCTCAGATTTGGCAGGGAGGTTGTCCTTGAGCTTCTTAAATGGCCACTGTTGACTTCTGACAAAGTGGTATGCGGGGGGTATTCACGCCATGATAGTGGCAGTTCTAGTTTGCATAGAGGGATTTTTGTGATTAATATTAATCATACAAATATTCACCATCTTGAGACATAGTGTAGTATGTATATCCTCAGTTTGCTTGGTCAATTGTCATTTCCCTGTTAAGAAAGAGACAATTTGAAAATTCAAAAGAAATATCACATTATGTCAATATTGATGATAACCGTCATAATTTTGAAATGTTTTATCTGGGTTTTCAGGTAGTTTGGCAGAGCCCCCATACAATATGGTTCTTGTAGTTTGAGTAAATATTTCTATGTATAGACATAAATCAATTTAAAGAAAACAAATATATTATCTTAACCCTTTATCATTTTTGAGCACATTTATTTATCGAAAAATTTCTTCATGTAGTATCTGTTTTCTTTTCAGGTTGTCCAAATGGTCATCCATATGTTATTGGAAGATGTATGTTTTTTTATAAGAATTATTTTTAAAATTTCTCAATTTATTTTTTTAACAATTTTTAAAAATGAAAAAGATTTCCTAATAAATTTACTGAATTTATGTTTTTAAATGATTTCTCCCATTTCTATTTTTATTTGTCTTTTTACATTTTAGAATTTTAATTGAAAGGCCCAAAATGAAAAAAAAGGGGAAAACCCCAAATGTTTTTAATGGGCAAATGTTTTTTTAAATTTGGGTTAACAAAAAATTGTATCCCCAAAACACACAACTTAGGGAATTTTGTTTTAAAGGCTAATGTGGGCTTGGGGTTTATTTTTTTGTACCGGGCTTTTTAATTCTGGTTGGCCCATTAAGTTTTCAGTTGCAAATGGCCAAAAAATTCTGGGTTTTTTAAAAAACTGTGTCTTTTTTTGGAAACAAAAAATTAAAATCTATAAAAAAAGCCTTTAAAAAGGGGACTTTGAAAATGAAAACCTTTATTTAAGATTTTTGCATGCCTCATAAAAGTGTGACCTGGCTTGGAAATTTTCTTAGGGAAATAATATTGGGTGTTAAGATGTAAAGGTACAAAATAAAAATTTATTTATTTTTTTGTATGCATCTAGTGTGGTAGGACCCATAGTAGTCTCCAAAATTGTAAATGCGGGGCTTCATAGGGTGGAAGATCACATGTTTGTAGGAAGCCAGAAAATACCAAAGACACAGGGTAAGTTTTAAAAAATTGCTTTATTTCTTGAAAATCATTACTCTGTGAACAATCCAAGTTTTATTGAAATAGAGGACTGTTAACTTAAACCCTTTTAAAACACATTTTTAAAGTAAGGAAACTGGGCTGTGCCATGATCTTTAATTTTGCGTTCATGACACAAAATTTGTCTCTTGTTCCATTAATTTCATGTTTATTGAAATAGGGTAGTTTTGCATGCTTTAAGTTTCAGAAAAATTAATCTAAATCCTAACATCATTATATTTTGCCACCCTGCAATAGTACCATTCAGTTATCAAAGCTCATACTTGTAATAATATTATTTATCCTCAAATGTAGTCACAAATATTAAGATAACTCCTCTATTCTAGCTGTGCATATTTGTTCCAAAATTTGTTTGGAACTTTGCATTGTGAATTTAAGAGATTTTGAAATCAAAATGATAAAATTTAACTTGGTTTTTGCTTGTAAAAAAAAAGATTTTTAAAGCCACTGTGTAGGACAGTCTGATGGTAGAATTTTCTTTATGCCCAGTACTGTGGAAATAATGAAAAATTTGGACAGGACATTATTCCTTATATTTTGTGCAAAAACAAAGCCATCACAAAGACCAGGCCTTGCAAGGAAAAACAGTAAAAACTTGGCTCATTGCCCTAGTTATTTTCTAAACTGTCCTTGGAATTGGTTACAATTGACTCTGGTGCCTTTAATGTTCAGTGAGCATAAATGTAGATACAGTAAACTCCGCTTATAACGAACTCACTGGGACATTCAAAACCTGTTCCTTATATCCGGAGTTCCTTGTAAGCATATAGCGAATTAGTTCGTTGTATCAGGAGTTTTTATAGCGAACAGATTTACATATAACAAACTGATTGTTTACCATTGTCCGCCATTTTTGAAGAGAATTTGATTAAGAAATAGAAATATTAGTCATTTATTTATATTTTAGACACACTACCCGAGAGCGTACTTTTTGGAATTCGAAAATCATTGCTATTTCAGTTTTAGTTTACTCCTTATCTCAATTTCACATAAAATATAATATTTTGTTTCTAAACTAATTTTGTTTTCTTTCCATGATTGAGAATAAACAAGATTTTCGATTTTTCCTTACTTTTATATTGAATATCTTCTATTATAATTTAAGGGTGACTTTTACTAAATAAATGTCAGATATAGATTACTTTTCATTTAAATCAAGCGTACTTAGCAGTTTGCAATGGATCATGCTTGCAAGCATGCATGATAATGTTGAAAACCGATTATAAATTATTATAATTTATTTATTTGAGCAAAACTATTGAAGAAAAAAAATAAATAACCGTTTTATCTTGGTGAAAAGAGCTCATGCTAAATATATCCAAAATAGAAAACTATACAAATGTACATACAACGGTACATTCGCCCGAGTTTTAATCATGCGGGATCTATTTACGGATAGCCAATATTTTGGAGTTCGTTATAAAAGTGTAATTTTCTGTACTATTAACTAAATTGGGACTAAGAAATGAGTTCCTTATAAGCGATAATTCCTTATAACCGTGTTCGCTATAACCATATATTTTTATATTAAATAAAGAAGGCCAAAATTCGGACCAAAATAAATTGTTCCCTATAACCGGAAGTTCGCTATAACCGTGTTCGCTATAAGTGAAGTTTACTGTATAAAATTTGTTATAAAATGTTGCATTGAATAAATTCAGATTGTTTTTTTTAGGAGGGACAGTACGCTTACTAGTTACATTCTTGGATGGGCTCAGGCTAGAGGTAAAGATGTGATACCTGAGAGGACCTTGACCCTCACCAACACTGTTATTATAAGGCTTATTCTACACATGTCTATGTTTATTGGTGTAGGAAAAGACCTGCAGGTATATAATGAATATTAGTTCATTTTCACTGAATGTAGGCATTTATTATCTCATTAAAAAGCAAGTGTTTCAGATTTTCCAGTTATCTGAGGTTGTGGGAAAACATAATAAAAATCATTTGTAAGTGAAATTTTGTCAATATTCATAGAAAGAAGCAACTCTATTTATCCTGTTTGAAACTGAGAATATTTGATGCTGTTCTAAACTTCACATTGACCTAATTTGTATGCTAAATTGGTGTCAGACCATTATCTCGACAACACAATTTTTTGTGGGTGCTCAGCTCTCAAATTTCATAGGTGCATTTGTCTTGGGCTGTAGATGACCCCTATTACTTTTGGACTTTAGGGGTTAAAGGTCAAGGTTGCTGTGACCTTGTATGCCAAAACTGTTTCCATGTTGATAGTTCTGTTAATATTTCTTTGTTAAACTTATACTTACTAAACCACCTTTGTTAACTCTCTTTACCTTTTACAATTTCCAACTTTGTTGTATTATTATTGTTTATTCATAAACACATACCATTACATACTAGTAATCAGTTTCTCTGTGACTTACATAATGGTTATTTATTCCTACTACCAATCAAAGGTAAGTGGATAGGGGCATATGTGTCATTCTGACATTTTTTTATTAAAAAAAGTTTTCAATGTCGAAAATCCATATTAGATTGATGAAGGTGTCAAACAGACATTTTCTGGTTGAGGAATATGGTTGAGATGGACTGATTGCAATCAAACTTATATTATCAAGGTCTCTTGAGATTGTTTTTAGGCCCTACATGGTCAATGTCACTGTTACGAGAAATAGAAAAACAGTTTTCAGTCCATTACCAAAGTTTCAGAATAAGATAATTATGGTTATTAAGCTTGTTGTATGGCAAGCTTATGTGAACATGTCACTTGGGAATGCTTTTTTGCCCCCTAGTGTCAAGGTCACTGCTACGAAAAATAGACATTGAAGTGAAGTAACTACATGTACATATGTATAAATGTAATTTTAATACATTGAACATAGAGTGTTATTTGATATAAATTTTGATAAAATGTGTGGAAATTACATTATATAAAACACAAATGAAAATATTTTAGGGTGTGCAGTCTTTGATAAAACCAGACATTGATATAAATGAAGTAGAGGAGTTTTTATGGGCACATATACAACAAGATATAGATGATATACATAGAGCACTTGGTAGAAGTGTTGATGATGTTTTCTTACTCATGCATACAATTATAGACCATGTTATGAAGATCTATAATGAAGGTGATATTTTCATTATCATTTATATTTCCTATAGCATATCTTTATGTGTAGGGATTTTTAGCTCACCTGTCACAAAGTGACAGGGTGAGCTTTTGTGATCGCTTTTCGTCCGGCGTCAGTCCGGCGTCCGTCCGGTGTCCATAAACTTTTACTTTAAATGACATCTCCTCATAAACCGATGAGCCAATTTCATCCAAACTTCACAGGAATGTTCCTTTGGTGGTCACCTTTAAAAATTGTTCAAAGAATTTAATTCCATGCAGAACTCATTGATTGTCCCTATATGCACATAGAAAAAACTTAAAATATCTTCTTTTAAAAAACCCAAAGAGCTAGAGCTAAGATATTTAGCATGAAACATCTTCTAATGGGTGTCTATCAAGTTTGTTCAAATAAAAGCCCTGGGGTCAAAATTGGCCCCGCCCCAGGGGGTCATTGATTTTCCCTATATGCATATAGTAAAAACTTATAAAATCTTCTTTTAAAGAACCCAAAGAGCTAGAGCTAAGATATTTAGCATGAAACATCTTCTAATGGGTGTCTATCAAGTTTGTTCAAATAAAAGCCCTGGGGTTAAAATTGGCCCTGTCCCGGGGGTCATTGATTTTCCTTATATGTGTATTGCAAAAGTTTTTTAAAAAAATCTTCTTTGAAAAAACCCAAATAGCTAGAGTTTAGATATTAAGCATGAAACATCTTCCAGTTAGTGTCTTCAAAGTTTGTTCAAAGAAAAGACCTAGGGTCAAAATTGGCTCTGCCCCGGGGGACATTAATTTTCCTTATATGTGTATAGCAAAAACTTAAAAATCTTCTTTGAATAAAAACAAATAGCTAGAGTTTAGATATTAAGCATGAAACACCTTCTAGTGAGTGTCTTCAAAGTTTGTTCAAATAAAAGCCCTGGGGTCAAAACTGGCCCCGCCCTAGGGATGTCATTGCTTTTAACTATATGTGTATAGTAAAAACTTAAAAAATCTTTTTTTTTAAAACTCAACGAGCTAGACCTTAGATGTTTAGCATGAAACATCTTCTAATGGGTGTCTACTAATTTTGTTCAAATAAAAGCCCTGCCAGGGGGTTTAAACTGGCCTCGCTCTGTGGGCCTATATACAGGTGAGCGACTTCAGGGCCATCATGGCCCTCTTGTTAAAGATATTATCAATGTACATGTACTTTCTAATATTTTATTTCATTTAATCAGAATTTGTATGCCCCCACAATGTGGGAGCATATAGCGTTGCACTTGTCCGTCCGTCAGTCCGTCCGTACGTCCCGAAATTTTGTGAACGCAACTCCTCTTAAACCAGATGGCAGATTTTGCTTAAACTTACAGGGATGAACAACCTTAATGTGTAGATGGTAGTAAAGGAAGGAATTTTTGCTGCGACCAAATTTAACAGAATTATGGCCCTTTGTAAATTATTTCACTAGATACTATGTAGAAATTTTGTGAACGCAACTCCTCTTAAACCGGATGGCAGATTTTGCTTAAACTTACAGGAATGAACAACCTTAATGTGTAGATGGTAGTAAAGGAAGGAATTTTTGCTGCGACCAAATTTAAAGAATTATGGCCCTTTGTTGATTTTTTTCACTATATACTATGTAGAAATTTTGTGAACGCAACTCCTCTTAAACGAGATGGCAGATTTTGCTTAAACTTACAGGGATGAACAACCTTCAGGTGTAGATGGTAGTAAAGGAAGGAATTTTTGCTGCGACCAAATTTTACAGAATTATGGCCCTTTGTTGATTTTTTCACTATATACTATGTAGAAATTTTGTGAATGCAACTCCTCTTAAACCGGATGGCAGATTTTGCTTAAACTTCCAGGGATGAACAACCTAAATGTGTAGATGGTAGTAAAGAAAGGAATTTTTGCTGCAACCAAATTTAACAGAATTATGGCCCTTTTTTGATTTTTTCATTATATACAGTATACTATGTAGAAATTTTGTGAACGCAACTCCTCTTAAACCGGATGGCAGATTTTGCTTAAACTTCCAGGGATTAACAACCTTAATGTGTAGATGGTAGTAAAGTAAGGAATTTTTGCTGCGACCAAATTTAACAGAATTATGGCCCTTTGTTGACTTGTGGCACATGTAGTCCAAAAAATATTTGACCTAGAGTCATTAGATTGACAGAACAGTGGCGTGTGGGGGCATCTGTGTCCTATGGACACATTTCTAGTTTTCTATGCATTTTCTTTGTATTCTGCTCATTTTGTATAAACCAGTCTGGCTGTTAAATGTAAGAAACCTTTATATTCTGTTTGAGAAGAGATATATAGCTTTACACTCTTGAAATTGTTTATTTGATATTGTTCAAAAATTATTCTTAATTTAAACAAGAGGCTATTATATATGAGATGCCTTTATTAAAGAAAGAATACTAAACTTTTGCATTTCGTTACTCATAGGATCAAAAACACTGTTGCACATTGAAATTAAATAATTTGCAGGAAATAATGTTAGTGATGAAGTTAGTCAATTATCATCAAAAAGTGGAAGAAATGAATGGGAGAAAAGCTTCTGTGCAAATTTTCTACAAACATCATTACAGGTGAATCTAAATCTGATTTTATTTAAGATATTTTATATTGTAACACATATTTTATCTTTAATCACATACTGTGCCATTTTAGAAACTTTTGTAAAAACAATTTTGCATGGCTGTGCAGATATTTTGATGTGATATCATTTGCTTTAAATAAACATAGCGTAAAGATGTGCTAAGTGTGAGCATTATATTATAGACGTGTCAATGAAAAAGTGATTCTTTTAATCCTAAACTGTTCTTATTTGTATGTGCGATTAATAAGCTTCATTTCTAAATTAATTCAACTTGTTCAATAATAAGAACCTATAATCATTCAATTATATAATCCACTATTGCAGTATTTATTTAATCTAATCTTTGTTTAAATCCATGATTTTATTATTATTCAGAAGTATTCTTACATAATAGAAATTGTCTCCGTCCGTCCGTCCTTCCGTCCGACATTTTTGTCTGGAGCATATCTCAAAAAGTATTTGAGGTATCAACTTGAAACTTCATAGGTGGATAGACCTCATTGAGGAGGAGTGCAGTGCACAAGAATGATAACTCTACCCTGCATAATTTTTGAGTTATTGCCCTTTGTTTAATTTCAAAATTAATTTTTGTCCAGAGCATAACTCAAAAAGCCTTTGGGATATCAACATGAAACTTCAAAGGTGCATAGATCTCACTCAGGAGGCGTGCAGTGCACAAGAATGATAACTCTACCTTTCATAATTTTTGAGTTATTGCCCTTTGTTATTTTTCATACTTAATTTTTCACCTGAGTGGAGCATAACACAAAAGTGTTTGAGATGTCAACATGAAATGTCATAGATGGATAGATCTTATTGAGGAGGAATGCTGTGCACAAGTATGATAACTCTTCCCTATACAATTTTTAAGTTATTTCCCTTTGTTCTTTTTATTACTATTTTGTCCAGAGCTTATCTCAAAAAGTATTGGAGGTATAAACTTGAAACTTCATAGGTGGATGGATCTCATTGAGAAAGAATGCAGTGCACAAGAATGATAACTCTACCCTGTATAATTTTTGAGTTATTGCCCTTTGTTATTTTAAGCCATCAGTATTCACATAGGTTTCAAATCTGTAATCACTTCAGCCATCAGTTTTCATTATCAAAAGACCTCTTAAAATTGAATTATTCTGCTCTACTACATATACATTCTTCCAATGAGCAAACACATACGGCGGGGGATGGCCATGTTGACATGGCTCTTGTTTTATATAAAATTATTATATTTATATAATATGTTTCTATATGTATTGTTTGTTTTTTGTTTTTTTTTTAGAACATTGAAAATATCTTCTAGTTCATAACCACAGATTAGGTTTGTTCTTATTGTAAAAGTTAGATTAGGTTTGTTCTTATTGTAAAAGTTATAGGAAATCTTTCACACACTACATTCAACTTTTATAATGTAGATTTGCTTTTGACTGAAAATGATGTTCTAGTATTAGTTTACTTGATTTCAGCATGTTTTTATTAGCCTAACTATTCGAAGAATAGGGAGAGCTTAATTGAACAAACCCAGGCATGAGCATCACACTTTAAGTTTGGTTAAGTTTAGTTAAGTTTTTGCAAGTTTGGGTAAGTATTTGCAAGTATGTATTTCCAAACACTACAGAAGGAAATGAGTTTACACTTTCCACATTTATATGAGAGCATAGTAAGAGGTCACTAACCAAGGTCCATATTAACACTAACAGGGATTTTAACATTATTTTGATTAGGTATATCTAAAATGGTGTATGATTAAGATAATTGCTTCTTTTTAATGAATATGTACTTCATTTATGTAAGATTTTTTCATATTTCAATACATGAAAATAAATGTTTATTTAGATATGATCACTGTTAGTGAGAAATTTTTCCATATTCACAGAAAACAGTCAAATATCATTCAAATACTGTATATCACTCCCATATTGGTCACTACCTGTGAAGACCTGTTGTTTTTATCAAACAAATATACAGAAAAAGATACTTTTTAGAATATAGTTTATATTTCATTATAGTGAAGTATACACAAATGTCCACTTCTTGTAATTGTAACAGGAGCAGACCCTCTACTCTGTCTACTGTATGAGGCAGAGTCTGACACCAATGTGGAGAAAGAGAATCTAGCAATTCTTGAAGACATTCCAAGAGTCTGGCGTTATAGAACACCTATATCTCTACAACATCTTAGACAAGAAGTTGAAGCTAAAGTATCACAACAGCAACATAAAGTTCTACAACTATTCCTTAAAGAGGTACAATGTTGTTGCAATGGTATTATTATGTAAACTGCACCATATGGTAGAATGAAAACTGTAAAGTAGAATTTATTTAATCCTACATAGAATATGATAGCAGAAACAGTTAAAGCGAAAACAATATTGGGGATCTCAAACCTGATGGTGGAGGGGCTTAGTGGTTAACACCTTGGACTAGTAAATATAAAATGTTCCTTTTTCAGGATCATCATTTGAGAGCTCTACGTTACATTCCCAGTATTCTACGTCTACATCGAGCTTTGTTCCAGAAATACCAGAGAAAACTAGACAAAACTGAGGCATCACAAATAACTGTTGCTCAATTAAAGAGAGGTATGTAGTAAAATAATACATTTTCTAGTCATTTAGCCTTCATAGTAATGTGGCAAATCTGTAAAACCAAGGTTTATGATTGAGTTATTACTGTTTAAATATTTTAGAGTTGATGGCCATGAATCAATGTGAGACTGGATTAGACCTAGAAATATCTGTACTTAGTACTTGTACCTAAGTACAGTCATAAAAGTATGAATCACTTTAAGAGATAGATCAGCTTCATTACAAGACCAGTTTCTCTGAAATGACTTAAATTGTATATTTTATAGATGGAATAGCTGGTATGGAAACCAATGACTTGATACAAGATTTTGCAGATGCTTGGGAATTAGTCAGAGAATCACTGATGTTATATGGTAAGTATGATTTAGAAATACCAACAGCAAAAGAGCCGATTTTACAAACCTATATTATCAGTTTAAATATGTTTAGTCATGATTACAAAAAAAAAAATTCATAATCACCAAAATTAATAAGATGTGATCAAACCTTGATTCAGTCAAATGAAAAAGTTACAAGTACAAATGGCTTTATTATGGCTGCCAACATTTTTATTGGCATTTTATTTCAATTTTGTACTTTCTTTCTGGCTCCATATCTGGATGTCAATTATATCTCTGCTCTGTAGATTTTCTTAATGGATCTTACATTGTGTCTGACCTGAAATATTTACCATTAAGAGACATGTTATATGCAAGATACATTGAAACTAAGTGATGGCATGTGGTAAAACTTTTGTAATAATTTTGCTCATGATGTAAAAATTTATTATTGGAAACACATATTTTATAAAACAATTTTTACCCTTTGATGAAATAATTTTAGTGCCTATTTGTAAAATTATAAACAAAGTTTGTTACTAAATTAACAAGTGCTTTATCACTGACTATGCTACAGAGGAAAAACAATTATAAAAAGAAATATTTTACATATCCTACTTTACCTTTCTTCACCCTTAAAGTAATCTCTTTTATATGATTGTATTTCAATTAAAGTTATTGTAAGGGTTATTGAATTAAAGTGACACACTTAGTATTATAAACTTATATGAATATGAAAGTGATGATTGCTGCAGCTACATTTTCTTTGACATTATCGAAATATGAAATATGTATCTTTGAATGTGTATTCTGTTTTTTGTTGTGTCCAATAGAATCAGGTGGAATGAAAGTTTCTGAGGAATACTGTAGTAAACGTATCACAGACAATACTTCAGTATCTGTCTTGTTACCAACAATGAAAGAGGCAGGACTTTGTTCCTACATTCTGTTAGACTTTTTGATGAGGAAACAAAATGATTTCTTGGATAAATACCTGAAAGAAGCTCATAGGTAAGTTTCTGATAAACCAATATGGTAGATTTTATCAATTTTAATTTAAATTTGAAAGAATTATATCAACATTTTCTTAGAGTCAATAAGGCAAAAAAAAGTTTATAATGTGTTAGTGAGTGTAAGTAAAAACATATTTTTGCAGTGTATTTATATATTTTACAAAAAAAAAAGTAAAAGAAGTTTAAGACTGTTTACCTGGCAAAGCATGAACATTGAATTATTGTTAGTAATAGAGAGCACAGAGTGAGCTATTATGAAACCTGAATGTCCAGTGTCTGTCATTAACATTGCTACAACTACATCTCCTCCTAAACTGATTAGCCAATAGTAATGAAACTATACAGGAATGATTTAAGGCGGTCCTTTAAAAAGTTAATCAAATATAATGGCAGTCAGAGCTAAAAATAGGAAAACATTTAGCAACAGCTGCTTCTTAATTACTTGGTAGAATTTGATGAAACTGTACAGTGGTGATCATTGTGTAGTCCCAAGTGTTGCTGGTCTGCTGAACAAGGGGATTTTCTAATGTTATTTAAATCTTGTACATGTAGACCATATCCTTTGGTGAGCTATTAAGGGCAGTCATGGCACTTTGCTACTAAATCAACTTAAAAAGGAAACTATTGTGATAAAAAAGTTCTATATATAATTGTTTCTACAGCAAATCTGGCAGCATATCGATTGTAAACCCAAAAGAGGTGACATCAGCACATCTTATCAGCTACGACCCCCAGCACGACATTTTACCTTTAGTGCTTGCTAACTGCCAGTATTCATTTGAGATGGGTAAAGGGACAAAGATAGAGTATGATTTTGCTGCCTTAGAAAGACAATTAATGGACAGATTCTTGTTTTCCAAGTCAAGAATTGAAGTTGGCAGAATGTTAATGGTAAATGATGTATAAAATTAGTAAATGTTTGTTATATGTTCATTAAAAGCCTAAGTGAAATAATGTATAAAAAACTGTTTGCAATTAGATCACGCCCGTTTAACTCACAACTAGTGAAAAATGTCCATCGGTAAAAATGTTGTGAGCAACTTCCGTTCCTCGTTGTGAGCACCCATCTTTGACGTGTGACACGATAAACAAGGTGAGTTTTTCATAATTTTTGAAGATTACAGACATTTATGTAAAAATATCGAAATGCAGTTAGCTAGCGATGTGTTTTCCGAGTATGCACATGTAAAGATATTGCCTGTTGGTGGACAATTTGATGGAAATACCGTGCGACGCAGTCACTCGGAGTAGCTGGAAAACTGGAGACAACTTCTCTTTGGACCTAATTTAACATTGAAAACGTCGATTCTGGTGACGTTTTGTGCATTTTAACCTAAAACAGATGCCCACAAGTCTTCAGCGTAAATTATTATCTGAAAGTCTTCATAGAAACGAAGATATACCCTTTTTTGCTTTAATCCTCGTTGTGAGCACCATAACCTCGTTGTGAGCAAGACAAGCGCAGTGCGTGTATGGTTTTAATATGTTATTCAGATGGTGAAAATATAATTTTCAATCTACCACAGCAATTAAAACGTTTTTGCACAGCAGCATTTCTTTGCAAGACGTTGTGCATACCCCAAAGGGAGGCATATTAGTTTTGAACTGTCCGTCTGTCAGTCCGTCAATCTGTCCGAAAATTTTAACATTGGCCATAACTTCCTTATTAGTAAACGGTTTTGATTCATATTTGAACACAACATCCTTAGCACCTTCCTACGGACCTGTATTTTTTTACCTTGACCCCTGAATGGCCTTTACCTTGAAGGTCAAATTGTCCAAAAACATTTAAGATTGGCCATAATGTCCTGGCATAATGTTTAGGCACAACACATCTTTGGACAAGGCCTTTCAACTATCCTATATTCTTTTGACCTTGACCCCTGAATGACTTTCACCTTGAAGATCAAATTGTCCAAAAACTTAAAAATTGGTCATAACTTCCTTATTAGTATACGGATTCTACTCATATTTTGAAACATCACCCTTTAGGCAAGACCTTCAAACTGATCTGTACATTTTTTACCCTGTACCGTGAATGACCTTCTAGAACATCCAAAAACTTTAACATTGGTCATAACTTCTTTATAAGTAGGTGGAATTAATTCATATTTGGACGCAATGCCCCTTTGGACAAGACCTTCCAGCTGACCTATATTTATTTCACCTTGACCTTGAATTACCTTCACTTTGAAGATCTCATTGTCCAAAAACAAATAATCTATCTGGTCCATTAATCAAAGGACAAAGCACCACTTCAGGGGCATTGTCAACTTACCGTGATAGATCTTGTTTTACATAACTTGGTCAGTCTTCAGCCCAGGATAAACACATGTATGTGTGTATCACACAGATTGTGAAATTGTTGAAATATTCATAAACACCCCGTGATGTTCACTCGTGCCACACTAGAGTATACGAAATAAAATACCTGATTTACCTCAAATGATTAGTTCTTCTGTTAATCTGATGACTTGTGAATATGAAGAATAATTTTCAAAAAGAAAAAAGAAAAAGAAGAACTATTGCAAAGAAAAACTATTGTACAAAAACGTTTTGATTGCTTTTGGTAGATTGAAAATTGTATTCTTGCCATTTGAATTACATATTAAAACCAGACAAGCACTGCGCTTGTCTTGCTCACAACGAGGTTATGGTGCTCACAACGAGGATTAAAGCAAAAAAGAGTATATCTTCGTTTCTACGAAGACTTTCAGATAATAATTTACGCTGAAAACTTGTGGGCATCTGTTTTAGGTTAGAATGCACAAAACGTCACCAGAATAGACGTTTTCAATGTAAAATTAGGTCCAAAGAGAAGTTGTCTCCAGTTTTCCAGCTACCCCGAGTGACTGCGTCGCACGGTATTTCCATCGAATTGTCCACCAACAGGCAATATCTTTACATGTGCATACTCGGAAAACACATCGCTAGCTAACTGCATTCCGATATTTTTACATAAATGTCTGTAATCTTCAAAAATTATGAAAAACTCACCTTGTTTATCGTGTCACTCGTCATAGATGGGTGCTCACAACGAGGAACGGAAGTTGCTCACAACATTTTTACCGATGGACATTTTTCACTCGTTGTGAGTTAAACGGGCGTGTAGATGAAAGGCATGCATGGTTTCCGGAGCATAACTTAAGTTCCATTTGGCCCACAACATTCAAACTTCATAGGATGATTGTCCATATTGGGTAGAAGACCCCTATTGATTTTGGGGTCACAAGGTCAAGGTCATTATTACTTTTAAACTGAAAACAGTTTCCGGAGCATAACTTAAGTTCCATTTGGCCGACAGTGTTCAATCTTCATAGGATGATTGTCCACATTGGGTAGAAGACCCCTATTGATTTTGGGGTCACAAGGTCAAAGTCATTATTACTTTAAAATGAAAACAGTTTCTGGAGCATAACTTAAGTTCCATGTTGCCCACAGTATTCAAACTTCACAGGATGATTGTCCATATTGGGTCAAGGACCCCTATTGATTTTGGGGTCACAAGGTCAAAGTCACTTTTACCTTAAAACTGAAAACAGTTTCCAGAGGATAACTTAAGGTCTTTTTGTCCCACAATATTCAAACTTCATAGGATGATTGTCCATATTGGGTAGAAGACCCCTATTGATTTTGGGGTCACAATGTCAAAGGTCAAGGTCACTATTACTTAAAAAACTGAAAACAGTTTTCAGAACATAACTTAATTTCTATTTGGCCCATAGTGTTGAAACTTCATAGGATAATTGTCCATATTGGATAGAACACCCCTATTGATTTTGGGGTCACACGGTCAAAGTTCAAGGTAGCTATTACCTCGAAACTAAAAACAGTTTCCAGAGCATAACTGAAGATCCATTTAGCCCACAATATTCAAACTTTATAGGAGGATTGCTATTTGAAGGAGGTAATACTTTATTTAATTTATGTAATGTCTTACAAATGCTTCATCCTTAGTAAAGAAAAAAAACACTTTCGGGCATATAATGCTCCGCCTAGCGGTGCTCTTGTTTAGAACTTCTACTTGTATCTTTGTTAGGAATACAATTTTATCACACATTTTGTATTTTATCACACATTTTGTATTTTAGATTGATCAAATGATATACAGAACAGAGTTTACTAATGCTGAAGTTTTCAGAAAACTTGCTGAGAAAATAACTCAGGTTAGTATAGATATTTGTGAAATTCCAATAGCAAAAGAATTAAAACTTTGTACACTTGCACAATTATCAGGGTGAGACAAGAATGTGAGGAGAACTGTCCTAGTTCATAGAAATCTGAAAATAAGAAAGAATAAAACAAGCAGGAAATTGCCTGGGTGGGAATGGGTTATGGGTTTTCTGTAGACAGGCTGGTTTAAGGTGTTTGTCATTGTACATGGTTAAGCTTCTTATTCACTATATCATCAGTAACAGTAACAGGTTAACTTCTTATATAATTTAATAGTAATAGAAGTTTACCCATTACTGCACTGAGGTGACAATATATTGCTATTTCTTTTTAATTATTTAGTTTTAAATAATGAGATATAAACATTGAATATAAGTAAGCATCAAGTTTAATGTATGATTATGTTTACAGGAAAGAATTGGTGCAGCAGTTAAGACTCAGATATGTGCTGAGATAAAGACGCTACCAGATATTTGTACATCACTGGACAATCTAGACATTACAATAAGTTTTCTCAAGTCTACAGGAGGTCAACCAGAGAAAACTTTACATGAATTCATGGGCAATACACTTCAAATGAAAACCACAATACTTAGCCAAAAGGTGAATATATAGTTATCTATAATATTTCGCCCATTTAAAGACAGTGCTGTCGTTTTTAGCTCGACTTTTCTATGAAAAGGGGAGCTATCCTACTCGCCCCGGCGTCGGCGTCGGCGTTGGCGTCACACCTTGGTTAAGTTTTTCGTACCACCCCACTTTATTTCAGAAGTATTACAAGTATGGCTTTGAAACTTACCATACTTGTTCACCATCATAACCTCCATCTACAGACAAGAGTACATAACTCTGTCAAGGTTTTTGACAGAATTATGGCCCTTTTTTGACTTAGAAAGTGTATTGAGCTTGGTTAAGTTTTTTGTACCACCTCACTTTATTTCAAAACCATTGGAGGTATTGCTTTGAAACTGACCATACTTGTTTACCATCACGACCTTCATCAACAGACAAGAGGACATAACTCTGTCAAGGTTTTTGACAGAATTATGCCCCTTTTTGACTTAGAAAATACATTGAATATGGGTAAAATCCACTTATTGCCTTAACCCTTTGAGATATTGCTTTGAAACTTTTAATGCTATTTCACATCATTACCCCCATCTGTACGCAAGAGAAGGTAACTCTGTCAAGGATTTGTTTTAAAAATTAAGGCCTTTTATCGACTTAGAATCTTGGTTAAGTTTTTAGTACCAGTCCACTTTTTGACTGAACTGTTTGAGATATTAATTTGAAAGTTGGAATACTTGTTTACAATCAAGATTCCCAAACATGTCCAGGAGAAGGTAATTCTGTCAAAGATTTTATTTGAATTATGGCCCTTAACTGTCAATGTTTTGTATTATAGGCAAGCACTAAAAAACTTAAAAAATCTAAAAAAATTCATTCCTATCCACTTGTTCACTTTCTACTTTAGTCTTCAAATCATATAATTAATACTTTACAAACACATTATTATTTATTTATATTTATACTAGATTTAGGTTGTCAGTCTCTCCATGTATTCTCTCAAAGTGGGTTTAATACTATTAAATTTATTTAAGGCTCAACTCAGTTTTTTTTTCTTTCTTACCAGCCCTCTTTTGACTTAAACATTTCAAACTTTGCTGCAGTGTTCAAGGGTATCACACAATTCAGTAAAATAATTCTTCACTAAATATCTTAATGCTCATGGCCATTGTTCACTTTAAAAATACAGAGATTCTTGTATTGCCTTTTACTGCAAAAACTTTTTTTATTGGCAAGCAATAAAAAAGTCGAGCGCGCTGTCTTACGGACAGCTCTTGTTAAAAAAATTCTTGTCAGTTCAGTATAGATATTCAAAATATTTTTTTACCAAATATGTTTGCTTTTAGAGTATTTTATATAATCATTTCAGGCCCAGCAGGCATGTGAATTAAGACATGCACAGTGGCTATGGTTACTTCTGTCATTACAGAAATCAAAGAAAATGGTGGACAACGAACAAAATGCAGAGGTATAGCAAACTTCCATAACATAGCTAAATTTCTGTTAAATATTAAATAATTATACCCCCGAAACGAAGTTTGGGGGGGGGGGAGGGTATACAGGAGTCACCCGGTGGTCGGTCGGTCCAGCGGTCCGTTGCATTTTCCTTGTAACTTGAAGACTAATGGTTGGAATTCAATATGACTTCATACAATGGTTAAGCGCATTGAGAGGAAGTGCAGTGCACAAGAACCATAACTCCATCTTGACTAATTGCAGAGTTATTGCCCTTTGTTACTTTTCCTTGTCCGTAGCATAACTTGAAAACGACTGATATTTTATTTTTCTAAGATATAACTGTATTTCTTTTATTTGCCAGTCAACATTTGAAAGTGTCTTAAAAGAGTTCCACGAGGAATTGCCAGAAGAGATAATGACAGAATACAGGGGTTATATAAAGAAATTGTCAATAGAAAAACTAAACCTGCTTGTAGAAATACTTCATGAGTATATTCTGTTAGTTGTTGCTGTCAGACAAAACCCGGAGGATGATGATTATACTGTTACAACCATTCATAGGTATGATTTTTATCAAGGTCTAAACTAATGTTAGGAATCAGCATGTCGTTACCTTAATCCAATAACTGTTTAACACCTATTAAATTTAGAAGGACATATTCTGTTTCTGCTCTTAGGTAACAATGTGTGTTTGTATACTTTTATTGAAGGTAGTGTCAAATTGTTTGGGTGATACTATTCATTTGGTATTTAATTTCATGATCAGTCATCTTAATATTTTACAAGTTACCCTGAATGTCACCCAAGTGTCAGACCAGCCTGAATAATTTACCTTGTCTAGTTTAAAATACTAATTGCTTTGTTAACACAATTGTTTTTTTTCCATTTTACTTAAAACATTTTATAATGTATACCGTTATTTTCCTTTATAAAAAATAAAAAACCATGAACCATGTGGATTTAAGGTGGATTTCAGACATAGATACAAACTGTACATTCTGTGTATGATTTTTTGCAGACTTGGAGAGTGGCTGTCTGTTTATATAGGAGGAATGGACAATCCTGTGTTAGAGTCAGCTGTATTAAGAGAATTTCCCAGGGAGATCCTGTATAAACATAGCGTGCATACCTGGATATGTAGCTACAACATCTTAATGGAGAAACGAAATGGCCACGCCTGAAGATGTGGATTACTCCTGTCTTTGACACTATATACATGTACATCAAACTATGGGGCCAAATTATACATTCTTTCATAATGTAATTAATTATGGGGCCAAATTATATATTATTACATAATGTTACAAACTATGGGGCCAAATTATCTATTCTTACATAATTTGATAAACTATGGGGCCAGATTATATTCTTGCATAATGTGATAATTGATAATAGATTTATTTATAGGCAAATTTCTGACTTTTACCAATGTGGTCAAAATCTGATTGACATTTCTTTTACCATCTAATTTTAACACAATCTGGGAAAATTCTTACATGATGTTCACAAATCTATACATTATCCTACTTATAATGATATGCCTTTAAATGAATTATAAAAATAATGATATACATGTAGTTCATTTCTTAGTACATTTTACAAATTAATAAGTTAACACCAGATAGCATTAGGTATGGCATTAGACCATGACAAGATTCAATCAATATACAGTGACATTAATTGGCACAAGTAGACTGAAACGGTTAACACTACTGATTTATCTTCTTATTTGGATTGCAATATGAATATACTTTTTGTTATCTTCAAAATTACTATGATGAATAAACTTATATTTACCTATGTTTTATAAGCAATTAAAATATTGCTAGTTGTTTGGATGGAATAAAACAAATATGTGCTTGTCAGTATATTTGTTCAATGGATAAATGATGGAGATTAAAATGTATCATTTCTGAAATTCCTTTCAGATAATTATATTATGTAATATATACTTAATACAGTTATTTAACAATTAATGTATTTTTTTTTTAATTTTATAAATTATGCTTTATGAATATGTTTATACAATGAGTGCCATAAACTGTAGTGAAAAGTCATTTTTGAAAGTAGTTTTTCTGTCAACCTTATCCAGTGTTACTCTTATGAAAGTGACTGTTAATTTTTATTAATAAAAAAGAAAAGATAACATGAAATTTAGTATTTTTTGGCATATGTAAAAATGCAAATTTAATGTTAGAAATGCAATTTCATATAATTTTATTTTATTTTTTAAATGCTAGTGATAGTAACAGCTTTAATCTGTAGTGTGATAATGGTTAAGGGTTTGTTTTATTTTTGAAATGACAACAGTTTATTTTCTCAGTATTATTTTTTTCTTTTTAATTTATTTGTTATTTTCGCCATGTGTTGTTTTTGTTTTATAAAAATTCTTTCTTTTCATTCTTAATATGATGTAAGTAAACCATTTAATATAAATAGATTTATTATAAAGATGTTTCTGTATATCATTTCCTACTAATTAGGAATACATGCAATATTACACTAGAACTTTGAAAGGGGAAACAGACAAAAGCCCTCTCGAACTAAAGCCAATCCTGTCAAAAAATGACAAGGCGGACAAAAGTCCTCCCATGAAAATGACAAGGCAGACAAAAGCCCTCCTGTGAAATTAACAAGGCGGGCAAAAGTCCTTTTGTCCTACACTCCTTTGAAAGATGGCATTTGTCATATATATTGTAGTTTTTTTTCTAAAATCTACAAAATAATACAATGTATGTATAAAAAGGGTATCTGCTAAAGACTAGACATGTAAATAAGAAAAAAGGTGACAATAATTTTTTTAAGAGACATTAGATGACATTTGATATTTTAAGATTTGAAATGACTGTTCAAACAGTGACTTCAATAGATACTGTAAGTTATGAATTATGTAAAACATTTTTATTATTAATAGGATTGTTTAATACATATATATGACTACCACCATGTATAATTAACCCGCCTCCGTAGTCGAGGGGTTAGAGTAGATGACTTCTAATCCAGTTACCTTTCTGGCGTGAGTTCGATCCCCAGGAGATGCTTTGGTAGTTTAGCGCGAAGGAAGGTAGTTTAGTCTAGGAACAATGGTTAGGAAACTACCCCCCTATATGACTGACACACTGTGGTTATTTATTGAATACTGTACATTATAAAGATTATTATAGGATAAAGAACATGGTGGATATGACCAGTATTGTTATAAATGAGCAATCATTCTATTGTTAAGTTTATGTTGTTTTCATATTGTAAACAGTTTATGCCATTATGATTATTTGTGGTGCAAGATGTGTTATATAAAACATTTTCAAGTAAATTTGCTGTCTGTCTTTATTTATATGACCGTTTTTATCATGGAGCTAAATATAAGATATCTGTGTTTTTATCTTGAATAATTAAAGAATGGGAACAGCACATCAACAACCGTTGCTTCCAACGTTAGGTAAATTTTGTGGACACGAAAATTAATTTTTGGCTCATCTGACGCTTTGTTGTGTGCTAAGTGCTGGCTTTTTGACATTAGTTATCCATCGTCCGGAATGTTACATTATCTTATACAAAACACACATACAATTCCTATGCAACCCTTTAAAAAGTTGTGTGTGTATAAATTCTGTTAAAAACTGAGATGGGGTTGGGGGCGACATTTCTACATATAGTTCATTGACAAGTCAATTACAAGGAAAATAAATGGTAGCCCTCTACATAATTTATTGAAGAAGTTCCTGTCGGATGCAATAGGTAACAGGAGCTAATAATACACTTTCAATGTAAGCTCTTTTTTTTCTGAGTATACATACATCGGCTAGCTAGAACTTACTTTCTTTGACTTGCGCATAGCCTTATTGTCCGCTATAAAGATTATCATGCCCCTAGGAATTAATATTATAGGGAATTTTCTTGTTGTCCCTGTGTAGAACTATAAACATGACAATTATATGCTGCTTAGGGGGATAACTAGACTGTTAATGTTCACATGTCACAGATCAATAAATGTATTGAAATACTGGCAAGACGAATAAAGTTTAATATTTTTAAAGATAAATCTGCCTTGAGCTTCTGTTTTAACCAGTTTAGTGTTGCCTTAGCTCATTCTGGAACAGTACATCCCAGGCTCATTTTGTAAAAAAAAAAATGAAAATATAAGTAAAATCCCTACATGTATTTATAATGTTCACATAGGAAATTCCAAATATGAATAAACGCAGGTAATGGGGAAACACAAAAGAAGGGTTCTATTTTTGGTGGCAGGATTACGGGTAATGGGTTCCCAAAATGAAACAAACATATTCTGCTGTGATAGATGGTATTCATTTTATATTTATGAGTATTTAAAGCTTATTGTATATACATTTTTGTAATTGTTTAACATTGTTCTGCAAATATTTACATATGTTTGATATTAGCATGTCCGCTAATCAGCCAAATAAAATTAAGTAAAATGAAAGTGAAAGTATAAGTTTTCTTATTTTCAGAAAATATATTAAGGTTAAAATAAGGACAACCAGAGCGGAAAGTTATAAATAGACACGTTGGAATAAATGTAAATAGACAACTCATTATAATCAAACAAACAGCTAGATGTTCGTCATCAAAGTAAGTTACGAACGTGCATTCTTTACATAAATTTTTAAATTTTGCATGGATGTATTGTTTCTTAAAACAGTTTATTGACGTTTCAATATTATCATTCAATAAAACTTACCTGAATATTATATTAGACGAACCAAATTACTGTAGACGAATGGATAAAAGGATAGCTGACGCAGACATATTTTCGGATATTTTACCAGTTAGATGGATTTGGAATTAGTACTATTTGATAGTGACGTAAGTTTTATTGTTTCGATTCGATGTATATTTGAATCAATATACGGGGTTTTCTGAGAAAACGAAACTAGAATAGTAATAATGATAATAGTAATAATTAAATGAGAAATTTACACACAAAAAATTCAATTAAGTTAATTAAAACGTCATGCACAAACAGGAGGTGTATTAAAGAATACATTGTTATTTGTTCAATCTCTAAATTACAAGTTCAAGGACAAATGTCGTCTTGTCAAAGCATGCTTATTACTACATATTTAATTTTATATGGTAAGTCAAGTACAGTTGATCGTACATAGTCAATAACTGAAGCTAAGTACTATTGAAGGACTAAACATAATGATAAATGCATTGAAATCTATCGTGTTATGTATCATTGTGACAAAAATGTTGGTAATTCTGCAGATAGTTTTGCTTTAGTTGAATACGATAATTAAGGTTATGATTCGTGAAAGCTATTGTAAATAAAGTTCGAAATACTATACAGCAGTTTGCATCTATGTCTAGTTTTTAATTTTCTTTAATAAAATATTGGAGGTCGCCTGTACGGAATTTCCAAACGTAAATAATTACAGATAATGGGTTCCCATCGTGCGCCATTACATTATGTATAGGTTAGTGTTTAATAAAATAACGGGAAGGGCTAGAGACTTGGGATTGGCCTCATTTTGAAGCTTAATATAAACGTGAAATAGTGATAAAGTTTTTTTTTAATTGTCTGGCCAATTGTTTTCACAACGGCCCGGGAAATGAATCCCTTGCTCGTAGGCTCGAGTTTCCGGCCTTCTCTTAACATATAGTATATTTTTAAAGGGGATCATTATTTACATTTTTTTTGACACTTTTAAGATGAACACAGGTTTTTTTATCAATCTGGTCATATTTTTTCTTCCCAGGTCCGATACTCGTGCCTGTGCCATAAGGTTGAGGTTGGTGAAATCTAAGCGGAAAATACGAACGTATTAAATATGAGTGTAAGAGTTTTTCGTAGATATTCTGAAATGTATCTTATTGTTTTCAATCAAAAATATAAATATAAAGTTTAGACTATATAGATGTATATAAAACTCTTCTTCATATGCCTGTTTTTTAAGTTAAATTCGATAATGCAATGAGACGATGAAACAAATAAAGACCCAGTTTATACTGGATATAAAATCAAAATATAAATAATTAGAGGTTATTGGCTGTGAAAATAAGGGACTTCTTCCAATTCGTAGAATTGTTTCACTTTTCACTTCTCTGTTTACGCTCAATTCTTTGAAAATATATTTGTATAAAAAAGAACGAGACGGAATTTCCAAGTATAAATAGCTACAAGTAATGGGTTCCCATGATATTATAAAAGCAATAAGTTGTGTCGTGACATCCAATTAATAATTACGACAATGTAATAAGTTATGCACAATTGATTTAACATAGCATTTAAATAAGCATGTCGTTTATATAAAAAAGTTAAATTAGTTTTATTTCCGGAAAAAAATCCTATGGTACGTATGATGGAAATCTAAATGGTAAGTTTTTTTAAAGTACATGTAGTTTGTTTGTTCTTTTCAAATAACATTCGTTTAATTATATAAATTGAACAGAACAAAACACACTTTATTATCTCAAATCAATAAATTGACATTGACATTAAGAGTACGGAATAAATGCATTATTTCAATTTGCACATGTGGCGTGTGCAAACAGAATTACAAAGCCATATTTTTACCTCGACTTTTTCAAAGAAAACAAAAGAGCTATTGCTAAAGCCAAGGTGTTGTTGCCGTTGCCGTCTGAAAATTTTAACGGTAGTTGTATTTATCTATTTATTTGGATTGCCGTTATATTTGGACACAACAACCCTTTAGACAAGGCCTTTAATTTGACCAAACTGAACTTGACCCTCACTCTTCAATGTCCTTGACCTTCATGGTCAAATGCAAATGTATTTGAATTTTGCTTGATTTTAGCTAAAAATGGTTAAAACTTTATCATATATGTATTGAATGTTTTCAAAATTGAACACAACTCCCTAACGACAATGTCTTAAAAAGATCAAACTTGATTTACCTTGAACTATAGACAATCTTGATAATGAAGGTCAAGTTATTGTTATTTTATTGTTTTTGCTATAATTGGCTATAACTTTGTATTTAATAAATGAATTGCCTTCATACTTGTGCATAACAATTTATTGGACCTAGATACCAAAGAAGATTTTATTGAACTTGACCTGTATTTGACGTAAATCAGTGACAATTGGACATAACTTTGTTATTTATTTATGGATATAATTATACTGGCACAAAAGACTGCTTATGACAAAATCTGTAAGATATGACCTGGACATTTATTTTCCCTTTAGCCATCAGGGTCAAATTATTGAAAGTTGCTTAAATTTTCATAACTTTGTCATTTACTTATAAATTTGATTCATACTTGATAAAACCAACATTTTGAATTATTCCGATATGACTTTGACCATCTTAATCTTAAGGTAATGTACAATGGTATGACAATTAAGAAGAATTCAAGAATGTGACCTTCTTTAGAAATTTCCTTAATTGTCATCACCTTTTTATTTAGATTTGGTTCATACTTGCACAAAAGATCACATGACAAAACCGACATGTTGAATTATTCTGATTTGACCTTGACCTTTTATCGTTATTGACTGTCAAGTTCATATTTATAATTTATTTTTGAAATTTGCTTAAAATGCCATAACTTTCTTATTCATGTACAGCTTTGATTCAGTCTTGGTCAAAAGAGCACTTATGACAAAACTGACATGTTGATTTTTTTCTCGTTGGACCTTAACCTCTGATTGACCTTGAATATTTAGTTAAATTATTAAAATTTGCTTAGATTGTCATAACTTTGCAGTGTGTTAATGGATATGATTCATTCTTGGACAAAGAGCACTTATGACAAATCCAGCAAGTTGAATTATTCTGAAATGACTGACCTTCAATTGACTTTCATCGTCGAGATCAAATTATTGAAAGTCGCTTAAATTGTCGCTTAAATTGTCATAACTTTGTTATTTATTTACGGATTAAGTTCATTATTGAAGTAGACAAAAGAGCACTTATTTCTAATGTGACAAAAGGACAAATGTGATATTAGCCTTTAATTGGCATTGACAGTCGAGTTCAGATATGAAATTTGAATTTTATTTCTTAAAGAAAAAATCATTTGTAGGAGCACTCTTTACTATAATATTCTTTTTTTCTGGTGTGTAATAAGAAAAACAATCTAGCTTTGCACCCGCTTGTAAATCTTTAGAAACTGAAATAAGTATATATGATAGGGGAAAATGGGAAGAATGAAGATATTGTATATATATGCATGCAAATTGCTATAAATTGATACTCTGTTCGGAATATTTTATGCTGAAAATATTTAGAGTCCAATCAGGAGTGATCTTCTTTTTTAAATATTTTATGTTGGAAGTATCTACAGAGTTCAATTATATGTGATCTTTATTTTAAAATCATATTATGTCAAATGGGGATAAAGTTTTTAAAAAGAATCGTAACACATTTAATTTGGTAAATCGGCTAACTAGTAACACAAACTGACTGCGCCAAATTTTGTAAAGTTTAGAATTTATTAGTAAACATTAACACAATTAAACTCATATGAGATGATGTCGCTTGTTTTCTTTAAAAAACTTTTTTAGTATTTCATGTATATATGCGCAATAAAAATATGTCCCGTTAACCTGTTAGTTTGTCATTTCTAGGGAATTTTCTAGCTGTATAATAGCATGTGATGGAAAAGAATAGCACAAAAAATTAAAAGCATGCTTCATTAAACTCGTCCTAGAATAGAAACTATATTATATTAAGCGCTATCACTTCGCTGCATTTTGTTTATGTATCAACTTTTGTTTTCTTTTTGGTGATTTTCAAAATTATTTTAACAAATTATTGCAGTGCTACCGTTAAACAATGGCAGCTGAAAACCTTGTTCTGACAGTAGGCAAGACAAGAAGTTGGAAAATTCTTCGTCTTATAGTCGATGGAGGTACATTAGTCTTAAAATACACATTTGACAAAGGTACATCACACCGGAAAGCATTTCTTTCTGAAGAAAAGAACAACCTGCTTGGGGCCCGGTCTAAAAATGCATTAACAAAAACACAATACGACTTGTTATATCCTACGTCTGGTTCATCATCGTCAGCAGATTATGATATTACACTGCTAGTTGCACTACACCGGACATGTTTGTGCTCAAAGAAGGAGAACGATCCTGTATGGAGATTTGGTAATACACCGCATCAAAACGACCATTCTGTTGAGGCAGACATTGTCCGCTTAAGAGATTCAAGAAATGAGGTAGGGACATACCTTATGTAATAGATTTCACAGACATTTCCATTTTATAGTCACTTTCATATCATGTTTATTAATAATTAAAATAAAAACTAGGTTCACGGTGTGTCAATTGCGATAAAACATTTTTGTATTTATTTCAAT